GTTGTATGGCTGGGTACCAACACGTTGGGATGGGTCGATAGGACCTTCCCAATAAGCATAGGTGTTGGGGTGGGGTTGTTAGGGTCATAGGGGTCCTAATGTGGAACCGAACCCTCTTGAGGCGGGTGGTAGGGATAGTTAACATTGGGCGTTTGAACGCGTGCTTGCACAAGATTATCATAGTTCACCCTTCCGTAGTACCCCCATTGTTCAATAGAAGCCTGATTATCATGAAGAATACCATTGAGGGTACTACAAAGGGCACTCATATTAAAAGGAGAAGAGGAAGAAGAAGAAGATGTCTCACCTCCCCCACTAGGGGGGGGGGGAATGGGATGCTCCATTTGGTGAGGGCACTCATATTAAAAGGAGAAGGGATTGCACCGCGGACATGATTTTTCCTTAATCTTCCACCTCAGTGGGTTAGAAGGATCAACCGAAGTGTGAGGGGGATCCGGGAGGAAACACCATTCTTCTCCATTATCGACCAAGAGGATAAGTTTTGCGATTCTGAGTGCAACAATAGAGAGAGCATACGGAGGCTAGCCGACGGCCTCTTCTTCTTTGTTTTGGAGCACATGGGGGAGCAAATCAATTTGGTCCTTGTAAGCTCCACCTTTCAAAGAAAGCGCAATGAGAGTGATCATGCCCCCCATGTGTATCTCATCACCAAGCCGCCCATCTCAAGTGTCCAACAATCTCGAGATAAAAATGGTGGAGCATTGGAACTTTAAGCGCTGAGGAGTGTCGGCCAAGTAAAGGCAAGCTACCTCATCTTTCACCATAGATCCAAGGTTTGCCTTGAAGAATACGGCGTATTGAAGGAACCGGGAAAAGTATCTCAAAGCAATAATATGAATGTTGTTGTTGACCTTTGCGGTGTTAGTGCGAAAAACGGGCTTGGTGGAGATGCTACACCACCATTCTTGTTCATTATAGGGGATGCGACATATTGAGGTCATATCGGAGGGTCGATATAACTCGGTTGCTTGCCAATGAAAGATGTCGTTGAGCTCACTCTCGGTTAGGGAATGGTCTTCGTTGAACATGCGAAAGTGAAGCACAATTTGAGATTCACTCCCTTCATCATCTTCTTCAATGACTTCCTTGCGAAGGGAAGCAAGGAACTCCAATGTGACGCGCTCATAGGTGTGAGCACGTGGACGTCGATGAACTCGCCCCAACCAAAGTTTTGTGCGAGCCGGACTACTTCATCCATGATGCGAAGCTTTCTTAAGGTGTTACCGCAGAAGAACCTTGTCGATCGTATAGGACGGTCTATAAGGGTCTTATAGACATCCCAAAAGTGCTTGTTCGGAGCGATGATGCCATGATCATTGATGCCGGGTGGAGGAGGAAAATTAGAAGATGAAGATTCACCTGTCCTCTTCCTCTTGGACTTGCCTTTGCCAAAAAGATGCATTGTGAATCTACAAAATCACCAAGAACTAACATTAGGAAGATTCAATCCAAGAGGAGACACAAGAAGGTTGCCAAGATAAAAAAGTGTATGCAATGAGAGTAAAAGCCATGAGTTGTGAAATAGATGTAGATGGTAACAATAATATAATTCAAGGCATTAATGGACATTTATAAACCAAGGCATGAGCTAAAATTCCTATGGAAATCATATGCAAATCCTAAGAAAGCCTAGGCGAATTTGGGCATGATGTCCCCTAAAATTCATGAAATTCACTCAAAACTGATCAAAATCAAACCAAGAACAATGAGTAATAATCACAAAATTACATCCAACTTAAGAATTTCTCAATCAAAATGTAGCATGAGCAACCTAGTGAAGATCAACATATTCAAGAAAATAATTTGAAATCATGAAAAATCAAGGCATACATGCATATTCATCATGAAACAAGTTCTTTATCAACAACCAACCAATTACAACAAGGAAATCCCAAGAACCACATAAATCAAACAAGCCATGACTAACAATTTCAATTATACCACAATTCATACTTGAACATGTAAAACATGGTAAAACTAAGAGAAATTGAAGAAATGAACTTGCAAAAGCTAGAATAACCATACCATAATTGATTGGAAGCAAGTAGAAATCCAAAGGTTTCAAGTCACTATAACCCTAGAATTTGGGGAAAAATTGAAGAGATTGTAGGAATTGAGTAGTGGATGATAAAGAAGTGATAAAGAGAAGAGATTGGAGTGATTTTTATGGAGATTTGAGGTTGAAGGAGGGGTGACAATGGAGTTTTAGAGTGAGAAGGAGGAGAGAAGAGAGAGAGAGGGCCGAAAGTATGAAGGAGGAGTGAGAAATCTGCGGCCCTCGCTTTATAATTTCTGGGAGCTTACTCGAAAAAGGTTCGGCCGGACCATGAAACAGTTCGGTTGAACCATCAGAAGTTCGACCAAACTTTTGAAAAGTTCGGTCGAACTTCAAAAGTTTCCAGAATCTCGCAGATTGCAGCCCAATTTGACAGAACAGGAGCATCCGAACTCTTGGGAGGTTCGGTCGGACCATCAGAGGTTCGACCAAACTTTTGAAAAGTTCGGTCGAGCTACCGGATTTTCCTGAATCTGACAAATTGCAGCCCATTTTGAGTTCTAGCGCAAGAGCAGCCGAACTCAAAATTGGTTCAGTTAAACTTTTGAAAAGTTCAGCCGAACCTATTTGGAGTTCGGTCGAACTCCCCTAAAATCCTCAAATTTGAAATATTTGCACAAAACTTCTCCTTAAGACACACTAAAATACCACACAATCATGCCAAAAGTACATGGAAAATGCATTCCCTTTGAAGGCAAGGCAAACAAGAATACCAACACAAACCAAATACACAAAACCATCAATCCAAAGTTGTAGAAAGAAGAATGAAAAACATCAAGAAAATAGAATAGAGGAGGGTTAGAAACTCGGGTTGCCTCCCAGAAGCGCTTCTTTAACGTCAATAGTTTGACGACTTCCTCACTTAGGAGGTAAGATTATATTGTACCAACTCAATCAAACCAACATGAGCACCCTCGTAGTAGAGCTTGAGGCGATGCCCATTGACTTTGAACGATCTCAGTCCATCAAAATCTGAAATTTCCATGGCTCCATGAGGGAACACTTCTTTGACGACAAAAGGACCACTCCACCTTGACAAATGTTTCCCGGGAAACAATTTCATTCTTTAATTGTAGAGAAGTACCTTGTCACCCACAAGAAATGTCTTCTTTTCAATGTACCGATCATGTCATTCCTTTGACCGGGCCTTGTATACGCTAGCACAATCATAGGCATCCAATCTAAGCTCTTCTAGCTCATGCAAATCCAGCAATCTTTGCTCTCCTGCACTTCCCAAATCGAAATTTATTTTCTTTATGGCCCATTGTGCTCGGTGCTCAAGCTCCGCCGGAAGATGACAAGATTTGCCATACACAAGTCGGTATGGGGTTGTGCCTATAGGGGTCTTGAATGCCGTTCTATATGCCCAAAGAGCATCATCAAGTTTTTCCGACCAAACTTTTTGATTCCTTGCAACCGTCTTCTCAAGAATCAACTTAATTTGACGATTGGACACTTCCGCTTGCCTACTAGTTTGTGGGTGATAGGTCGAACCAAACCGTTGATGAACTCCATGCTTCCTCAATATTCTTTGAAAAGCACTATGCACGAAATGTGAACCATTATCACTTACCACCGCTCTAGGAATCCCAAATCTCGGAAATATGACTTTCTTCAACCCATTTTGAGACATAGTCGACTGCCACAAGGATGTATTGATTCCCATGAGAAGAAGGGAATGGTCCCATAAAATCAATACCCCATACATCAAATACCTCCAACTCAAGTATTGGTTGTTGAGGCATCTCATTTCTCTTGGATATGTTGTCCGTTCGTTGACAACGGTCACAAGTCTTCACAAACCCCCAAGCATCCTTAAAGATGTGCGGCCACCACAAATCGCTTTGCAAGATCTTCAAGGCTGTTTTGTTTGTCCCCATGTGGTCTCCACAAGGATCGGAATGGCACATATTTAGCACACTTTGCACTTCTTCATTTGGAACACACTTTCAGAGCAAACCATCTACTCCCCTTTTGTAGAGAATGGGGTCATCCAACACATAATGTCTTGCTTCTCTTTTAAGTTTCTTCCTTTGATTCTTGGAGAAATCGGGAGGAAACTCCACACATGCCAAGTAGTTCACCAAGTTGGCGAACCAAGGAAGCTCTTCCTCATTCAAGACATAAAGCACATCATCTCGCAATTCATCACATATGGGGACCTCATCATCACTTGCTTGCACATTCTTTAAACGGGGAGATGGTCCGCAACTACATTCTCAGCCCCTTTCTTGTCACGGATTTCAACATCAAATTGCTGGAGTGATAGGACCCAACGAAGAAGACAAGGCTTGGACTCTTTCTTTGCCACAAGGTACCTAATAGCCGCATGATCAGTGTAGACTATAGTTTTGAAACCAATGAGGTAGTTCCAAAACTTCTCAAAAGCATGTACCACGGCAATAAATTTTTTCTCCGTTGTGGTGTAGTTCTGTTGAGCTTCATTTAAGGTCTTGAACATGTAGTAGATCACATGAAGTCTCTTTTCAACTCTTTGTCCAAGCACACCCCCAATAGCTACATCACTAGCATCACACATAAGCTCAAAGGGCAAATCCCATCTTGGCCCTTGCACAATAGGAGTAGAAATAAAAGCTTGCTTTAACTTGTTGAAAGCATTGAGGCACTCTTCATTAAACATGAAATCAGCCTCCTTTTGAAGAAGAGCATTAAGGGGCCTAACAATTAGTGGGAAGTCATTGATAAACCTTCTATAAAACCCCGCATGCCCAAGAAATGATCTTACTCCCTTCAAATTGAGAGGGGGTAGTAGCTTCTCAATTACTTCAACCGTGGCTTTGTCCCCCCTCAATTCCTCTGTTGGAGATCTTATGCCCAAGGACAATTCCTTCCTCAACCATAAAGTGGCACTTTTCCCAGTTCAAGACCAAATTACCTTTTTCGCATCTTTCCAAGCGCTTGCCTAATTTGTCAGGCAATCCTCAAATGAAAGGCCACCAACCGAAAAGTCATCCATGAATACCTCCATTTCCTCTTCAAGCATGTCACCAAATATGCTCATCATGCATCTTTGAAACGTCTCGGGTGCATTGCATAGACCAAATGGCATTCTCCTATAAGCAAAAGTTCCATAAGGACAAGTAAAGGTTGTTTTCTCTTGGTCATCCAGGTTTATGGGAATTTGGAAGAAACCCGAATAACCGTCGAGAAAGCAATAATACTTGTGCCTAGTTAGTCTTTCAAGCATTTGATCTATAAAGGGGAGGGGGAAATGATCCTTTCTGGTAGATGTATTTGGACGTCTATAGTCTATAAACATAGCCAACCGGTCACCGTCCTAGTTGAGATGAGATCACCTTCCTCATTCTCAACTACGGTCATACCCCCTTTCTTAAGAACAACATGCACGAGGGAAACCCACCTTGAGCTCAAAATGGGGAAGATGATGTCGGCATCTAGGAGCTTGGTGATTTCCTTCACCACCACCTCCCCCATTTGAGAGTTGAGTTTCCTTTGCCTCTCTATGGATGGCTTTGCGCCCTCCTCCAACGTTATGTGATGCACGGAAATAGCGGGACTAATAACCTTGAGATTATCAAGGGTATAGCCCAAGGAATTTTGGTGGTTTCTTAACACACCACATAATATTCTAGTTTGGTGTTCATTCAAAGATGCATTCACAATAACAGGAAACATGGAATTGGGTCAAAGAAATTCATACCTAAGGTGTGATGGTAGAGGTTTTAGCTCTACCATAAGCACACCCTTACCTTCCTTTGTAGGGGAAATCTCCATAGCATGTTTGGGTGTGATTCCCATGCAAGCTTGCTCAACATTTCCTTCAACATTCTCATCAAGCAACTCTTCATACAACGCCATTTCCTTGCTTTGATCACCTATCTTTTCCTTGTTTAATAAGACATTCTCAAGGGCATTGTTAGTAGAGAACAAGTGCTCTTGCATAGAATTCACAATACAATCAATGGTGTCAATTTTCATGCATTTCTCTAAAGTAGAACTAGGATATTTCATGCTTTCATTCAAATCAAACTCAAGAACCTCTTCACCGAATTTGAGTGTAATTTTAGCACTTTTCACATCAACCAAAGCACCAGAAGTAGCTGGAAAAGGTCTCCCTAGAATGATAGGATTATGCACATCCTCATCCATGTCTAGCACAACAAAATCAACCGGTATAACAAACTTTCCAACCCTTAGAGGAACATCCTCTACCTTACCCTTAGTGAATTTGATTGATCTATATGCTAATTGGAGGGTAATGTTGGTAGGAAAAAGCTCCCCTATATCAAGTCTTTGGTAAACTGTATATGGCATAAGGCTAACACTAGCCCCTAAGTCACATAAAGCATTATCATTTTGTATTCGATTTATGGCAAAAGGAATGGAAAAGTTACCCGGATCTCCTAACTTTGGAGGCATCTTGTTCATTATGATAACACTACAACTTTCAGTGAAGTTCACCGTTTCAACAACAACACAACTTCTCCTTCCACTCACAATATCCTTTAGAAACCTAGCATAATTGGGCATTTGTTTTATGGCATCGGTAAAGGGTATTGAGAGGTGGACTTGTTTCAAGGATTCTAGGAACTTACCAAATTTCACATCTAGCTTGTGTCTCACAAACTTATGAGGATATGGAAGTTTTTGCAATTGTGTTGGTTCCTTCTCTTTCTCTTTTTGTACTCTCTTTTCTATTTCAATTTCTCTTTCATTTTCAACTCTAACTTCTTTCTCAACTTCATCACCTTTTTCGTTTCCACAACTTCTCTCATCTTCTTGCTCAAACTCACTCTCAAGGGACGGTTCATTCATGGTCACTCTCTCATTGGTTTTCTTTGGCTTACTCTCCTTCAACAACTTCCCACTCCTAGTAGAAATGGCATTCACCTGTCTCTTGGGGTCAAGCCCTTGGGGTTGAAGTTTAGAAGTTCTAGTTCCTTCTTTAATGGCAGTGGCTAATTGGGAGATTTGGGTTTCTAGAATTTTGTTGTGAGTCATAACCTCATTGAACTTCTTGTCACTAGTGGCCATGATGGTATTAAACATTTTGGCTTGGGTTTCCATCATCTCTTCTAGGCTAGACTTTTGTGGAGGTGCTTCAGTGTAATAGTTGTCTTGTTGTGCTCTAGGACCTCTCACATTGGAATTAGCTTTTTGGTTGTTAAAGCCACTATTACCATTATTATTCCAATTGTTCCTGTTATTAGAACTCCCCCCTGGTGGTATTGGCCTTGATTCCCATAATTCCCTTGATTATTATGGTTATGGTTACCATAACCACCTTGTTGGTTGTAGTTACCTTGGGGATTTTGGCCCCTTTGGTTTCTACCACCCCATGAATTTTGGTTATGATAATCATAATAATTTCCTCTTTAATTATAGGAATTTCCCCCTTGCCCTCTTTGATTAGGTGGTAAATATCTTTGATTGTCATTCCTAGGTCTATTATCATAAGATAAAGCATTGACATGTTCATTTTCAAGTTCATTACCATTCTCATATTGGGGTTGGGGATGAGAATCATAAGTGCAAGAAGAGGTGTCATGATCATATGATCCACAATTTTCACAAAATAAACACCCATTTGGCATGTTATTAGATGTAGAAGTAGAAGGGTTAGAACTCATACCTCTCCCCTTAGATTGGGAGGGACGCTCTTGTTGTGAAGAGGAGGACTCAAGCTTCGCCTTGATTGATGTCATCTCCTTGCCAAGGTTGGCGATTTGAGACGTCAAATTATTGATGGCGTTGAGATGATCAACGGAGTAAACCGCACTCCTTCCTTTGCTTGAAGACTCCCTCTGTCCTTCTTTCCAATCCATGTGGTGTCTTACCACATCTTCAATGATCTCAATCACTTGCTCTTCGGTTTTATTCATGATTGGCCCACCGGCTCCCGCATCCAAGCTTGTTTTGCCTTGAGGACTCAAGCCTCCATAGAAGATTTGTAAAACTTGGTATGTTGAATTGGGATTCCATGGTGAGGGCACTCTCTTTGGTACTCCTTGTAACTCTCCAAGCTTCGTAGATAGTCTCACTAGCCCTTTGTCGAAAACCTTGGATCAACGCCCTTACTTCTACGGTTTTCTTTTGAGAGTAAAATCTCCCTAAGAAAGCCATGTTAACCCCATCCCAAGTTCTCAAGGAATTGGGTCTCACCTCCTTTTCAAGCCATTCAAGAGCCCTTCCTATTAAGTATAAAGGAAATATCTTTAGCCTCACAAACTCTTGAGTGACCCTATTCACCTTGACCGTGTTGCAATATTTCTAAAACTCGTTCAAATGTGCAAGAGGGCTCTCGTGTTTTGCTCTACTAAGTTGTCTCCTCTCAATCAAATTTATCATTGCGGGACGAATCTCAAAATCATTGGCCTGGGTGTTTGGGGGAACAATCCCACTCGAAGCTCTATAAGCTCCCGGAGTTCCCAACTCCTTCAAAGGTCTTTGAGGTGGTGGCTGTGGATCACCCATATGGTCTTGTTGTTCCTTGAAGTTGAACTCTCTAGTTGGGTAAGTAGTTAACGGCGTTGAACCGGATCTCCTTCTCCTTCTTCTTCTAAAAGTTTGTTCAATCTCGGGATCGTAAGGCACCAAAATCCTGTTATGGGTTCTGCGCATACACACTCAACAAGTGCAATTAGTAGCAAGGCTTTAAGTGTAGCCAAGAAGAAAACACTTTTTGTGTTTTTTTTTTTTTGTGAACTAGACTCAAGCAATCAGATAGCAATCAACAACACCGTTCCCTGGCAACGGCGCCATTTTGAACGCGTGTTAGAACAGTCGCACATTCCACACTCATTCAAACACATTTATAAGCAAACATCTCACAAACCAAGCACAATGATAAGTAAGAGTTTGGTCCACAAGGAACTGGATGTAATCGCTAAAGATCTTAATACGCAAGCTAGTTCGAAAACTTTTGTTGATTAGTGGTTCGTAAGTAGACAAACAAACTATTTTTCTAAATCAAGTAATTAAAAGTACTAAGGAATGGGATCCACTCAACCATGGTAATCAAGCATATTGGGAGCAAATAGAAATAAGAGATAGCAAGGACTATATGTAAAACCAACCTCATGCAATTAGGAAAACAAGTCACACTCCTAAACATAGATCCCTCATTAGTTTAGCAATAGGAGATACATAATCAAATTGCAATAAGTAATGACATACTTAATCTACATTTCCATGTCAAACTAAGCATAACATGCCATCAAGCTCCGAATTCTAGGGTAGTTACTCCTATCATGGAGAACTAATAAGCAATCTCATACAATCAATTTAATCACAAATCAAACATCAATACTTCTCCCAAGTTTACTTAATTATGAAAGGAATGGTGTCCTTCCAATAACTATATTATACTGATAAAGGGTTCAGAATTATCAGGAAGCTAATTTTTCAGTGAGATCAAGTGATCGGAATTCCTGGGTGGAGGCCGCTTCCGATTAGTAATATTAGTGAACAATTAATATTACAGCTTTGTCTTGACTGAACCCTTCCGGTCGAACCCAAACGAACTGCCGATACGAAGGATTTGATGAGTCACTAGAGTATTACGAACACAAACGTCGGATATCGAGCCTGGAGCGTCGAGACCGAGCGTCGCAAAATCAACAAGCACCAAGTTTGAGTAAAGCCATAGCATCACACTTTCCTAGCCATGTGGTTGCTAGGCTAGCTCGAGCTAGCATGCACCTCGCATTGCTAGGCGCAAGACTAGCATGCCATGCGTTCTAGACGCTAGTACCCTGCTGCTTTCACAAGACTAGGCCTTGCCAGCACTGGCGCAAAGCATGCGTAGCTTGCTAGGCGCTTTGCATGGCAGCACGCTGCGCAATAGCAAGCAAGCTCGCAGGCAACACGGATGCGCTGACTGGGCTGTGCGTGCTTGTTGCGTTGCATGGCTGGCTTCCCAGCCTTGGTGCCAAGCTCTAGCTGGCAGCCTAGGCAGCCAAGGCAGGCTGCCAGCCTGCCCTTGTCCTTGGTGCCGGTTTGGAGATGTGGGGACCAAGGCTTGGAGCCAACCCTTGGGGAGCAAGGCAATGGTCCCCCCCTTGGTGATGGTCCTCACCTAACCTCTCCTCTCCATATGCCACTTGTTGATTGTTGATTGCATTATCTTTTAATTTATTTTTGATTTAAATAAATTAGTTAGAAATGCAAACTATCCCACATTGATCATGAACGGGAGTGCAAGTTGCATTTCTCTATAAATACCCCATGATTGGGAATTTGGAAATCAACTTAAGTGGTACTCAAAAAGGAATCTCTAATTATCAAGAAAACCTTTAAGTTCGTAAAACTCTAGTTTTATCTTTGGTCAAGTCTTGACTAACCCTCGAGACGAAGACCGTTCTGGTCGGGTCGTGGGTACAAGTTGTTGGATGTCGTCACGCTTGTGAGGCTTTAAGCTTAGAATTAAGAGCTCGGTTTACGAGCGAAGCACGCTTCAAGGGTATAACATCTTTCTCCCTTCTCTTAATTATTGTTTAATTATGTTTACGCATGCTTTATTGCTTTAATTATTGGGGCGGGTCTTGGGGGGTTTCTATTCCGCGTAGAGACGGTCTCTACGAAACCCTAAAGCGGTATCGGAGCCGCGTTCTTTTTAATTATTGCAATTTGTAATTAATTAAGGTGGTTTAAAATGGATTTAAATTTCTTGTTGTGCCTTCTAATTGGATTAGAAGCTCGTTTTAATTATTTTAATCTCGTATTTTTTAAAAAATTTTGGCTAACGAACCCAGATTTTGACTCAAAAATAGTGATATTTGGGTGGAATCGATGTTTTAAATCGTTTCTGATCCTTTCAAGTTTGTCCAGAAGCCAAAATCCACCCAGAAATATTTTTTTCGATGGTTTTTTCGTTTTTGACGAAAATTTTTAAATCTTTATGGCTTGATTAATTTAAGCATGTCAAGGGTAGATTAAATGCATTGTTGCATCCCTAATCTACAACAATTTTAAATCCCTTTAAGCATGGTTATGAAGTCATAATGTGTACTTAAGTTGGTATGTTCAATTTTTACATAAACTTGTCATTTCACAATCATGCAAATCAATTGCACTGAATGTGAATGTGAAATTTTAAAGTTCCTAGTATATTAAAGATCCAATCTTTAAATGTTTAAATGGTTGGAACTTTGATTCTAAATTCCATGTTGAACTAATGTAGGATTTAGTCATTTTTGGTTGATTAAAATCCTTAAAGTTTAAGTACTTGTGATTAAATCATGATTAATCTTCATATTGGAAGATGTAATTTTTTGTCATTTTGCACAAGTTAAAAGTTGGAAAAATTTTCATTGGATGAGTGGTTTTATTTTCCAATTCCCTACTTTGTCAAAACTCAGTATTAATTTACATGTTAGTTAAATTGATTATGGGTATAGCCCTTTTTCAATTTTAAGCATCAAGAAAGACCTAAATTGTTCAAAGGTAATTTTGGATGATTTAGGCTTGTGCACCATTAAAATTGAATTTAATTAAGTTAGACTTGTTTTATTTTCACTTTTGCCTTAAGTTAATTCTAAAATAAATTTAAAATTAATTTTATGTTACACATAAATCGAGATTAAAATCCCGAAAAATGGCACGCAAATCGGGGCAAGAACATCCAAGCGCAACTAAGGCTAGCCGGGCTGCCCACGCAGCCCACATGTTACTGCCTTAGGTATGCGCATGGTGCCTAGCCTCGTAATGCTGCTGTACTGTGTGGCGAGGCTCGTTGTGTGCTGCCTGTTGCTAAGTGCGTAGGCTAGGCTGTTGGAGTTGCTTGGGCAAGCTGCTGGGCAGCATGGCAGCAAGCCCCAGCCAGCCTGCCATACGCTGTCAGGCGCCAGCAAGCATGCTAGCATGCGCACCATGCGTTGCGTGTTGCTAGTGCCGGCTAGGCGTAGCGTGCTACGCTGGGCGAGTATGCTAGCACCCAGCATAGTAGGCGCAACACCAAGGGCTGCATAGCAGCCGTAGTGCGCAGCCCACAAGTTTTTTGGTGGGTCGTTTTTGCTAAATTTTTGGGCTATGACTTTTGCAAAAGTTTTGCCATTTTAATTATTTAATTAGTTAAATTTAAACGAGGCTAGGCCTCAGTAGCTCCGGCACTTGCAATGTATTTTGACAAATTATGGGTTAAACCGGCTTAATTAATTAGATTGATTAAGTTGGATGCGGAATTTAGTAGGAGCTTCGGAAATTTCGTGAACGAATTGCACCTTAAAATTCATAATATGTTAAACAACTTTGACTAGTTTTAATTAGGCGTGTTAATCGGATTAACCACCTAAGTTAGTTACTAGTTTTCGCGTGTTGTGCATTGTTACTTGTTTTTCGTCGTAAAATGCATGGGCCATTCACATATAGTGAATGGGTGAATGAAAGCTTGTTATGTAACAGGGTTTTGAGGAAATGGCAACTAGTGGGACCCGACTAGGATTGAAAATACGGACTGCGTTCCGTTACGTATTTTTGTAAATCTAAATACGGTTCGCGTACCGTTGAGTATTTTTGTACCTTAATATTTAGATTAATCTTATTCGCAGTAATTAGAAATTGCATGCTTGGCGGAGACGTCTCAAGACGGTGTTTTTCCATGAGGTCGAGTCAAGATGATGTTTTGAAGACCCTTGAGGACTTGAAGATTCAAGGGGTCATGCTAGTTGCCAAATGCATCTATTTTATGCTTTATATATTATCGTGCTTATATATATATATTTGAATGCTAGATGCATGTTTAGGATTTCAAAATGTTGCGATGATTAGTTAAGTTCACTTAAATCAACCAACATAGAAACCCTAGGTCCCTATAATATTGAGATTAAAATTTTTCGTTCCAAGAACAACACTTACCGAACTAATGCGCGTACGTGATGGGCTA